AAAAAAAAAAAAAAAAAAAAAAAAAAAATCACAACAGAGACTCTATACTTGGGTTTCATTCAGTTCCTAACAGCTTAGAAACACCTGCTAAGTGTTTACATTAAAAGGCTGCCAAGATTCTGCTGTGACACAAAATAAGATGCCAGGAGCTGTGATTTCAGTGCACATTGTCTTTTTTACTGCTTGTTCAGAATACATGAATATTGAACGTGCATAGTTTGTGCATAGGTGCACTTCAATGTTGCTAAACTTTTAACAGGACAGCAAAATAATAATGTTCAAATTATGAAAATTGATGACTCATCACTCGGATTCTCCTGAACACATGGGACCCTCTGATCACCAGAGAAGAAACGTTGCAACAACACAAAGAAAGACAGTCCACAATTTACTGACACTGGTGTAGCTGCATGCGCAAACCTGACCACGGAGCGGATAGTTAGGATACTCACATGATAAATGAAGTTTGCTGCCTTTCGCAAAGCTTTCTTTTTTCTTCGTTACAATTGGAGTGGAATTTCCCTGTGAGAATTCATTATACACTGGCGTCATGGAGGAGACCGATGCCTGCATCTTACCTTGAACTGGAGAGTTCTGTTAACCACAAACAAAATACAAGTAAGCTTTAATGCTTCAAGTATGTGAAACAGAGCTGGTCTGACACAGCACAGTGAGCAGCAAATTAGATACTAGGGCTGCAACAACTAATCGACATAATCGATGATTGAAAAAGTTGTCAACTTTTTCAATCATCGATTAATCGGCTTCCGATTGGTTGGCCTTGTTCATGGCTCCACACACGCTGCGCGCCACACTTCCTCCCCACCTCACGCTTGCTGCAGCCAAACCCGCCCGCATCCACACGCCGCACCTCCTCGCGCTCACTGCCCGCATCCACAATCGGCACAGGGACATGGGCAGAAGAAGTAAGGAGGAACAGGTGTGGGGAATGGTTCCAAGCTTGTTTCTGTGATGGACTGCGTTCTTAATACAAACTAGTGGTCCCATCACTGGAGCCATTTTTAAAAATGTATTTTATTTTTTTATGCAATTTATCCGATTAATCGATCTTAATAATCGGCTAACTAATCGATTTTGAAAATAATCGTTAGCTGCAGCTCTATTAGATACGAGGTAATCTATAACCTTCATATATGTTCTCTTTATTATATACAGCACTAAAATATAGAAATATAAATTTTATTTATCCTTCATCTAATAAATACTACATATAAAAATGTCAACATTAATGGGACACTAACTCCAGAGTTAAATCTTAAAAATACATTCAAGTACCTTATCTATTAACAAAAAATGTTGTATATCACTCGGCTGTAGATCCTCAAATCATCTCTGAATTGGTGCGGACACTGTCATTCCTTCTGGAGGTTGACTACTTCTGTTCCCCATGTGTTGTAAAGTAGTCACAGCTCCAAGCTGACTCACGTGATGGACTACAATCTCAAGTTTAGTATAGTAATGTGTATTGAGATTGTACTCCATCACAGGATGGACTACATGTGTAATAAGATACATTATTGTTAATAATTAAGGTACGTGAATGCTTTTAAAAAAAAGATTTAACTCCTGAGTTTAGTGTCACTTTATTAGACTTCCATCTGCTGGCTGCAAGTAATAAAGTCAATCTGAATAGCCAAGACCGATCTAAATCATTAAGAGATATGCACCCCACCCCCTCCATCTGCTCGCATACATGCCAACATCTTTACTGGTGGATGAACCCAGCCCATTACAAAAATTAGCATGCTTTTGAAACAGGGCCGTGGGTGCAAGATCTAATATTTTGCACTATACGAGTTCACCGAATTTATAATAAACCATTTCTCTAGTACAGTGGAGGAAAACAATTAAGAGTTTTGTATGGCTGTCTGTATTCCCATTGGGGAAATTTGCCTTCACTTCCTCTTCATAAAATAAGTCATCAACGTGCGCAACTAGATCGATTGTTTATGGATTGTATATTGATAGTGTCAAAAGGAGCTCCAGTTAAACTGGTGATTAATCCAGAGAAGATGTATTGCACTGATCCTGCAGCCTGGTTAGTTGGATAGGGCAACATCCACGGACAGCACTTAGATCTGTGCGCCGGTTTTTTAGGTTTTCTTCACTTCCTCTCCAGGTGACAGGTGTCAGAACTTGAAGAGGGAAGTGGGGATGTTTCTCAACATCTACAACCCATTTAGAACTTGGCAGAGGTTTTAATACCAGTTTCCACTCTGTTAAAATTTATCATCTAATAATTGCAATTGCCAAATGCAATGCAGCAGCCAATAGTGACCAACCTGATATCAATATGCAGTCGTTGAGTGATGAAGTTTATTGATTGTCATGATTTTTGTTCCTGTGCAAAGTTCAGTTAGTGTGTGTGTGTGTGTGTGTGTGTGTGTGTGTGCGCGTGTGCGTGCGTGTATAAAAAGGTTTGGATAGGAATCATTTATTATAACACAGGGAAATACTTACAAATCCCAAGGAACTGATGAGAGAGAGAACTTGGCCTGGGGTGCGGAAATAGTCTTCCTTGGGTTTCGCCATTGAAGGGGTTGTTAAAATATCCAACATGTTAAGCTCTTAAAATTACCACGCAACCCCCAACACCCTCCATGAGCTAACCACGCAACCCCCAACACCCTCCATGAGCTAACCACGCAACCCCCAACACCCTCCATGAGCTAACCACGCAACCCCCAACACCCTCCTTGAGCTAACCACACAACACCCTCCCTGAGCTAACCACACAACCGTCAACACCCTCCCTGACCTAAACACAACCCCCAACAACCTCCCTCACTTCTAACACCCAAAACAAGCCCTTAACACTTAAACACCCCCCAACCCTAACCCTTTACCCAAACCCCAAATTAAGGCCTCATATTAAAATGAACGTATAATGGCTCTGTAAAAATGTATATGTGAAGCATTGCATCATTTTGACCCATGACGAGAGACGCCCATTGTTTGCAGAAATACAGCAATGACAAAGTAGAACTGAAGCCAAAACTTATTTTATTTCACTTTCACGTGATAACGGTCACCAGGACAAATAGAGGGGGTGAATCTCCCGAATGGGGACACAGATGGCAATAAAAACCTGACAGTTGTTCTAATCCCTCTTCACTCTCCAATGCAAAAAAAAAGACAAAGTTTTGGCTTCGGTTGCACTTTAATCCTTAAGATGGCTGTACACTGTTCGTATTTCAGCCGGTTTTTGAGGAACCAGACAAAATCCGCACAGAGTGTGCCGCTGTCGGCACCCTTTCGACCTGCGTTCCTTGATCAGCTGATTGAAGGAGCCAGTCAGAAAATCTTCAATCAATCAGAGCCAGCAGCCAATGAGCTGCCCGCCCTGGTCAGGTATTCGGACAAGAACCAGGGCACCTGTCAAAATACAATGTAAACAGTGGGATTCCTCAAAAATCGACAGGCTGTTGAGGTTGATAGAGGAAAATCGGGTCTATTTTTTTTCTGTGAGCTCGTGGATTGAACGAATAAAAAATGAAACACCATGACCAGTGTATGGCTTAGTCTTCAGTTTATATCTGATCCTAATAGGTTGGACTTGATGGACTAATGTCTTTATTCAACCTCCAATACTATGTAACAGATTCTTTCACTATGGCACGTTGGGTGAATACGACTTAAACTAGCCAACCATCAGATATTGGTCAGATCATATGAAAGATGGGTGTTCAAAATGTGAGAAAGTTCCTCCCATAAACAAGCATGCCTGGACAGTAGTCTCTCCGGATGAAATTTCTGCCAGTCTATAAGACTAAATGTGTCCATAGATTCCAGTGTGGTTAGATCTGCAGGCATAATCTGAACATGGCTGGTATCTAAAATGCTCATTCATGTCTGTACCCACAACTGACACCTGTTGGGCCCACAGACCTGAAGCTACCCCCAGTCATGGCATAACTAGGTAACAGGGAAAAGAAAACAAACAGAAAAGATTGAGAGAAGTCAATTTTAGTGACACAGACAAACCAAACAGGAAAAGGTCAACAGACCATCTAGTGGATTTACTTTTGCATGTAGAGAACAAAGGTTTATTTAGGCAAAGCACAATACATCCATTCTTACCTCGCTTCAGAGTGACTTTCGAGAGGCCAAAGTCTGTTAGCTTAATATGACCCTTATTGGAAATCAGCATATTATCCGGTTTCAGATCCCTGTGTGCAAAAACACATGGCTGTGCTGTAAAAATTCTCTGTTTAAGTTCACATGGTGACAGGTTACCAAAAAACAGTTACACTGCACAAGCTACAATTTACACCCAACTAGAAGGACCAGAGAGAGTGTCTGAGCAGTGAATCTGCCCCCTTCCTTCACCATCCAAGAGAAAGAACCAGCGATGTGCTTGGGCTTGTGTGAATCCAGTTCACCCAAGAAAAATTGTCAGTGGTGCCCTGCCCCCCCCCGCCAACCCCGGTTGCAACCGACTGGTCCAGGAGAAAGAGGTGAAAATGACAGTTGCGCGCAGACTTGGGCAAACTGGGTTTGCACATGACTACTCATTAGAAAACCTGCCATGCTCTATGGCAGGGCTCAAAATTTCAAGTCCTGAGCTACTAGCCAGGCCTTAAAAGTTACTCGCCACCAGTTGCCCCACCTAACCCCTACCCTGCCCTAAATCTGCCAGGTCAGCGGTGTGATGCAGAGTACAGAGATCAGTAACAACGCACCAGTACAGAAGTCAGTGGTGCAATGCCGAATACAGAGGCCACTGGTGTGATGCACAATACAGAGATCAGCAGTAAAGAGGTCAGTAATTTAACGCACAGCACAGAGGTCAGTGTGACGCACAGCACAGAGGTCAGGGATTGGCCAGAAAACCTGGTGACGAGGGAGCATAGAGACCCGGCTACTTGAGAAGCCAGGTGGCGAGCCATTACACACCACCTGTCTTCCCGGCTAATCAGAAAGCAGAGCGGCGAGCCATTACACGCCGCCCAGCTGCCTTAAATGGGACTTCCAGTATTGGTATTGGTGAGTACCGAAAAAAGATATCTGTACTCTATACCGAAAAACTGGTATCGTTGCATCTCTAATTTTCAGATTGAACGCGAGTTTAGCGTCACTTTATTCAATGCTTTACCTGTGGATTATACCGTGCCTGTGCAGGTAGTCTAGAGCCAGGGCCACCTCTGAGATTAATTTCACTGCCATGTCTTCATCAAAGTAACCATAGATGTGCAGGAGAGACTTCACATCCCCACCAATGAGATATTCCATGACCTGACAAGAAAGAGACACTTCTGTTATTAATGGACACGTTTAAAGTAGGGATGTTCAGATACCGAGTACAGTACTCGGTACAAGTACATGTGCAGATACTTTTCCAGCTCCAGGACTAGACTAGAGAAAAATTCTAAAGTTAGGAGGCAGCCGTCATTTGTAAGGAGCACACGGAGCTCCTGAGTTTTGTGCAGTCAAGTGACTGGCGGAGGGCTACGGTAGTCCCAATATTCAGAGAGGGGGCAAGATGCCAACCTGGGAGCTATAGACCAGTCAGTCTTACATCAGTAGTTTGCAAACTGTTAGAGGGAATGATTAAGGACTATCTGGTAGAATTTGTTCAGAATAATGGCATAGTAAATTACAAACAGCATGGGTTCAGGAAAGACCGCTCCTGCCAGACTAATTTGCTAACTTTTTACGAGGGGGTAAGTAGAGATCTGGATGGAGGGAGGCCGGTGGATGTGGTATATCTGGATTTCTCAAAGGCTTTTGATATGGTACCACATAAACGCTTACTACACAAGCTGAGATCCATGGGCATAGATGAAATGGTGTGTACATGGCTAGAGAACTGGCTACAGGAACGTGTCCAGAGGGTATCGGTAAATGGCACCTTTTCAGACTCGGCTAGTGTCATGAGCGGTGTGCCTCAGGGTTCTGTGCTGGGTCCCATGCTGTTCACCCTGTTTATTAAAAACATCGGAGAGGGTGTGAATAGCATTGTTTCAGTGTTTGCTGATACCAAAATTGAGAGGGTAATAAAATCGGGCCTAGACAGTATAGCACTACATGAGGACCTGCATAAAATAGTGGAGTGGGCAAACATATGGCAGATGAAGTTTAATGTCGATAAATGCAAAGTAATGCACTTTGGGATTAAAAATAAGCAAACGGGCTACACAATTATGGGTACGCCACTAGGGAAGTCAGAAATAGAAAGATCTGGGGGTCATTGTAGACCACAGATTAAAGAATAGCTTGCAGTGCCAGGCTGCCGTAAGCAAAGCAAGTAGGAGTACTGTCTTGTATTAAGAAGGGGATTTATTGCAGAGACAAGTCTATAATTGTGCCACTTTATAGATCACTGGTTTGGCCTCATCCGGAGTACGCAGTCCAGTTTTGGTCACCAGTCCACAGAAAGGATGTCCTTGAGCTGGAAAGAGTCCAGCGGAGGGCAACCAAACTAATTAGGGGAATGGAGGACCAGAGCTATGAGACAGGGCTACAAAATTTAAACATGTTCACGTTGGAAGGAGATTAAGGGGGGACATGATTTTCCTGTACAAGATGATCAATGGTGATAGCAACAAACTCGTTACGATTAACTCCTAATCAAAGACTAGAGGCCACCAACCAAAAATTGGTGGAAATTTTTTTTCCAACACACAGGGCGAAGGGGGTTCTTCTCAGTTAGAGCCGTTAGGGTCTGGAACTCGGTGCCACAAGCAGTGATTTCAGCTAAGAGAGTGTGGAATCATTCAAGAACCTTTTGGACGATTTCCTGAGAGACCGTAATATACTGGGGTACAGGTACTCTTAAGAATTAGATGATACATGGACCTATACAAAAGCACACATCAGCAATAGGTTGGACTTGATGGACTTAGGTCTTTATTCAACCTCAAATACTATGTAACTATGTAAGCATTGAATGGGCAGAGGACACAAGCACAATTTTCAATAACCAATTACACAGATGGCTTTAGAATATAAATCTCGGTGCCATGAAGATTTAACAGTATGTTTGTGTACTGAATGAAGGCCGACATGTATGCGCTCCACTTACCAGATAGATGTTGTTGGCTGACTGGAGAGAGTAGTACAAATGTACAATAAAAGGACTTTTGCTCAAAGCGAGAGCGTCTCTTTCCGCCTGGATCTGATGAACCATATTCTTATTAATCATGTCTGCTTTCTTCACCACCTAAAGAAAAAAGAGCAAAACAGGATTTAGACTAGACTTCTAATCAGCTGTAAGAAAAAATACTGTCCAGTCCACATAAAAGTCTCATTAAACCATTCAAAAGACATGAATATATTTACAGGTGAATTGTTAAATGTATTTGGAAGGTAGTGATCCTACTGGGGAGAGTCCGTATGCCCTGGACATGTGACTTATTTTAGTTGTTTTAATAATCATCAGTGAAGTTACATTTAGATTCTGGCATCACTTCACACGAAGGAGTGTATTTATAAACCATTTCAGAGCCATTTATCCTGCGAAACTCTGCGAGCCTTCCTTCTGTGCAAATAGAGGCATTATATTTTCTTCCCAGTCACACGTATATTTAGAAAAATCCAGCATTATAGTCAATAGATGGAAACAAGGCTCATAGGAAATAAATATTTATTTCTCAAGCGCCATCTAGTGGCCATAATGCTGGATTTTCCTACTCCTACTGCCTATGGCCCATAGTACAAACATCTTAAATTGTAGATTGCTATAGTTAAATGTACGGTTTAGTGAGAAACAATAGAACGGATGTTTGGATAAATATTAGGAACAAGCACTAGTTTGGATAAAACAGTCTTATCCCGTCTGGCATTGTGCTTCTCTTAGTTTAAACAGAGGTCAGAATTCTTACTAAATCCCATTTTATCTGCTTTCATTGTATTCACAGAATAATCCCATTTGGTACATAGTAAACAGTGAAATGAAAGTACTAAAACAGGACTCCTAAACTACCGTGTTTCCCCAAAAATAAGACACTGTCTTATATTTTTTTTGGCTCAAGGTCTTATTTATTTTTTAATGTACAACAATCCAAAGTTAATCCAAAATGGCAAAGTTAAGAATAGGGTGATCAGGGCAATCAGGGGTGCCGTACCTTTCCAAGAGCAATTTGGTAACCAGAATGAGCAAAGCGCACTTTCACTATTGATTCCTCATAGGCGGAGTGCATTTGGTATCACTCCGCCTGTGACAGGAGGAAGCATCGGCTTATGCAGCTCTGCTCCCTCCGCTGCCGCCTCGCTTCCTCTAACGCTGGCTTCATTGGCACCGTTCATTCTCTCCCGCGGGTCTTGCGAGTTCCCCTTATGCCACCACCGGCCCTGGGAATGGTAACAACTAGGTCTTATTTTCGGGGAAACAGGGTATGCCATTAAGGCAACTCTGCAAGCATGCTTTGTAGAAGGGAGTCCGAAGATGGCCATACGGGAGGCTAAAGATGGCCATACATTTGGTGTGTTTTCTTCTTTTTTTGTTCAGAAGGCTAAACAGTGTTGATGGGGAAATCTACCCTGCCAGCTATTGTATTCCAGAGCCTGCAGCTGTCAGAATACCCTAACTGATTGGCTGCAGTCACTGTTCAGCCGCAAATGTAAAAAAAATATCCGTTTTGTCGAATGAGCGAATCTGTGACCACACACTTTCCACCTGTGCCTTCCCCTCCAGAGTAGCAGCTAACCAGGGACGCAGGAGCTGTGTTTATTGCACTGCACTCCTTACCAGTATGCCCCTTATGGATAGGTGCTGAAGTAACTGCAGATGGCGCCGCTATATACAAGTAGAAATAGTATGTCACCAGCACACCAAAGTCAAATGTCCAAATTCGTCTTCATCGGCGTGTCACCTTGTTACAGACGGGCTATGTTCTGGGGCCACTTCATTTTCCTTCATCAGGCATAGTGAGGACCCTAAGTGGCCCTGAGACGCTGCCCGTCTGTGGCAAGGTGTACACACGTCAATAAAGACAAATTCGGACGTTGGACCTTGATGTGCCGGTGACACAATATTCTACAGAGCAACAGGAGAGCACGTAGAAGGTAAGTGTGTGCTCCTTAGACCTCCCTCACAGCACATGTGGTAACGCAGTATGTATGTGCACTGTGGTGCAATTACAAGACTTCATTCGATGGCCAAAGTACAAGTTTTCTTTATACCCAGGCAAGTAAATACAACTACTCAGCAACATCAGAGACTGCACCTTGGACACCCAGGTAATCTCCCCACAAATATACCGGCTTGGATGACATAAGCATGCATCTTTATAGCTATGGGGGCGAGCGGAAAAACATCCTTGGAGATATATTTATGTATATGTATACATCTCTCTAACACAACACAGATGACCAACCTAGTGATCAGCTGCTAAGCACAAGTCACATGTTCCTCCATAACCAGAAGCATTGGAGGGTGCTGCCAGAGCAAAGCAAGAAGGATTTGCAGGTAAAGGGAATATAAAAGGGGGCCCTTTGCATATACACTAAAATTGTATAAATGGTACCAGCACACCAGTCCTTTTAGGATAGCAAAAGCTTCATTTATTGAAGTATTTTGTCATATGACCAACAAGCGCTTTCGGGGCCACACAGGGTCCCTTCATCAGGCTTTAGCATCGTCGTGTTGTATAGGTCGATGCTAAAGCCTGATGAAGGGACCCTGTGTGGTCCCGAAAGCGCTTGTTGGTCATATGACAAAATACTTCAATAAATGAAGCTTTTGCGATCCTAAAAAGGACCGGTGTACTGGTGACATTTCTACAATTTTGCTGACATTTGCGGTGCCATCAGCAGTCACTGCGAGCACGCCCCATTACAAGGGACATATTGGTAAGGAGTGCGACAAGGATAGTACTTATTCTTTGCATATACACTGTCATGTTACCCTGCATGGACAAGGTGACAGTGGGGTTGATTTACTAAAGGCAAAATAGGCCGTTCACTTTGCAAGGACATTTTCATGTAGTTTGGTGAACATAGTGAAAATTCACTTTGCAAAGAATCCCCACTCGCATGCAAGGAAAGAAAAAAAAAAAAAAAGTGATTTTTGCTTGCACATGATTGCATGATGGAAGCAGAGCTTCACCTCATTCACTAAGCTATGGAAAATTCCCCTGCACAGTGAGCAGACTGTTTGCCTTTCGTAAATAAACCACAGAGCCTCAAAGTGCAGCGCAATGCAAGCGTCATACATATCTGTGGAGGGCAGTGCCCTATAATAGGGGTAGATTGCAACGACTGTAGATGAGTGTTGGGGTGTAATAACTGCAGTGTGTTACATAAGACACATTCTGGTGTAAACAAGCCCTACAACCAATCAGACATGAGACATCATCTGTACCTAGTCACCCTTCACAATATTCTCCTTCAGAAGTGATTCAGCAGCAAACAGGCAGAAGACATTTCCATGTGGCTGAGGGACCATTCACACTAGTGCGCTGTGGTAACGCGTGTTGCTACAATGTGCTGCCAATCAATTTGGCATCTTCTCTGTTCATGGAACACACTACCGTGCAATGCGGCGCACAGCTGAAACCGCTGCATGTGATTTTAGATCCATTGTAGTGCATTAAAAATGTCCAAATGACAGAAATGAGCTACCCCCAATACAACACAGTGGATCAGTGTGAGTGGGTTGTGTGCCCTAACCCCCCTTTACACTATTGCAATATGTGGCTGGTCTCCTGTCACACTACAATGCATGACAAAGGAAATCCCATCATTCTCTATGGTGCCCGCTCACACCTATACAACATGAAGAAGTGTGATTTTTGGAAAGGTGCTTTTTATGGAGCGCTTTCAGTTACACATAAAAAATATATGATCTGCATTTTAGCAGATGACAACAAGTCATAGCACAAGTCACAAGGCCCCCTAGAAACCTATATTATTCATTGGGCAAAACAAAAATCAGACAAAACACATTAGGGCTCGTCCACACAAGCCACAGTGACTCATTTTTCCCCACCTCATCCATGTCAGTCACTGCAAGATGTACAGAAAACAATTGTTTCCTTTGTGCCGTTGTCACATCTCAACACTGGGCTGATGTGCAGAGAAATGCGTGTCACGTGACCCTCCCTTTTAGATTGTAAGCTCTCACGGGCAGGACCCTCCTGACCATCTTGTATGTAATGTCTTCCTTATATTGTAAAACGCTGTGCAAATTGTTGGTGCTTTATAACCCTGTATAATAATAATTTTTCTACATTGCAATGGATGGCCTTTTGAGGCCACCACAGCCACTGCTGCAGTGTCCACTTTGTACACTGCCAATAAAGTTATAGTTAAAAAAGTAAACAGTGCCTTGGGTACACCCCACCTGACACATGGGAAAGACGTGCTATAAAACACAGACACAGGAGTGTGAGCGGACCCTGCTACAGTCCTAACCTCTGCCAGCCATGGCCCTACAACACACAGCCAAGCATGCTGGGAATCGTAGCTGGACCTCCTCCTATTACAGGCAGTGTATTAGGTCTGCAGCCCCGACCGACCCACCTTGATAGCGAACAGCTTGCTGTTGTTTTTCCTGCGGGCCAGATACACCTTCCCGAAGGCGCCCCGGCTGATGGGCTTCACTATATTAAAGTCCTCGATGGAAGGCGGCTGCGGGACGGTGAACTTCTTGTCCACACACGGGGACGCATCCCCCTTCTCAGGCTCCCCGACCCCCATCCTACCCCGTACAACCCTGGCCGCGGGCACTCCGCCACTCCAGTTTAAATTCGAGCCACACCCCTGCGTGGCGTCATCCACTATTCTAACCAATAGGGCGCCCTTCACATGACAAGATATGACGGCAGGATACAGAGAGATTATTGGTGGAAGCATCTGAAGCCACGCCCATTGTGCGCCCTTATTGCCGCCATCTTGGGCCAGGGCAAAACATGTTTGTGCTTGTTTGTGTGATAGCTGTAGATGGGGAGGTTCTATAGTCCGGCACATGCAGAATGTACAGGGCAGCACTGGAATTCTGGCAGAATCATCTTTTATATGTTTTTTTTCCACTTATTTAACAGATATGAAAACATTTCAATTGTATTTTACAGACCAAAATCAATCAAATAGGAGAATCTTGTTGATTCTCTCAGATCCTTGTAGACAAAACAAACAATGTCCCTCATTGTGCTGCAACATTTCCTCTAAAACAAGTGTAAGCAATCTTCAGCCCTCCAGCTGTGGTGAAACTACAAATCCCACCATGCCTCTGCCCTCCAACGAGTCAGGTCTGTGGCTGTCAGAGTGTTGCAATGCCTCATGAGATTTGTAGTTGCACCACAGCTGGAGAACTGGTGTTCTGACGAAATGTCCAACTTGTCGAGATCTCCAACTTGGCACATCACGTCCTGTGACTTGCCAGTAGAAAATGTGTATGGGATGCGCGGCAGTATCAGAAACATCGTCGAGTTCTCCAACTCCTGTCACTGCGCCTGCAGTGCATCTGCTGCTAACAGCAACTCTAAATGGAGAACTTAATACTGCTTTTGGGTGGCCATGTGGGAATTGGAGAACTTGGCAAGGATTTTGACACGGCCACGGCTGCCGCACGTCTAAATCTCCTACTGGTAAGTCACTGGACGTGACATAAATAGTTGGAGATCTTGACGAGTTGGCCATTTCGATAGAACACCGTCGCTTGCCTGCCCCCTGCTCTAAAACAAAGATCAACTTTTTTCTCTTTATACAGTAACTATTTTTTTGGGGGGGGGGGTCATTCAGTTAATGTTCTTTTTCCCCCCCTTTTCTTGTGTATTTTTACACGTTAATGTCACTTTTAATTACATAAATCGTCCCACAGGTCACTGTTTACCAGTCCCCCAACCAACCCTTAATGACAGGAAGCCTCCACCGTCATGTCGTATGAGGCGGAAGTGACGTACGTGCCCCGGAAGTTCTTGGGAGTCGGGTTATCCGGGTCACCTTTGTTACATCACGCCGGGAAGTTGAGCAGTCGAGTCTAGAGATCGGTGATCCGGGCGGAATCTTTCCCCGGTGTGCGGACGCCATGTTTTCGCTCAGCAGCACGGTGCAGCCGCAGGTGGGTTGATGTCACGTGTTTTTGTAAATTTTTTTGGGGGTGGTATTTGACGGCCCCGCTTTAGGGTAAGCCGGTGTTCACCGGGTGACACTGACAGCTGGGTAAGGCAGCTTCAGCCAATCACGTGCTTCGCTCACTGGGCAACTGAAACTCCCGGCATGCTTTGTTATGGCGGGACTGCCATCCGGGCCTGGTTACCAGGGGCGACCCCGGGGGTGGAAGTCTTGTCCCCGGGCAAAGGCCTCAGATTAGAAGACCCGTCACTGGAAATATCACACTTTGTCCGTGTGACAAACTCAGCCCGGAGGTGTTCAAGTCCAGAAATAATGTGGACTTAAAGGGCACCTTTCACCTCTTGCTTTCTGTTGTGTCAGTTTAGACAGGAAGTAAAGGGAAATCTCCTCAGTGGTACACAATATAGAAAAAAAACAATGACAGAGGCTTGAACCATTGTTCTCCCCAACCCTGTGCCTAACCTGTGGCCCTTTGGTACTTTGTGTGTGGCCCCTAGGCCCTGTAGTCAATGTTTTCCTTGCCTGGACAGTGAAAGAAAAAGTTGAACTGGATTCTACTAGCTTCAAATTTTTTTTCTTTTTTTTTCTTCTTCCACGCTTCTGTTTATGGCTGGTTCACACCAGCCTGTGCTCTACAACAGACCATTTTAGCACACGATACAGTGCCCGCCGCCAGCAATGGTGGACAGAGTCTTGTGTGTTTTGAACATGAGGCACTGTGGGTTTTTTTTTTCCTTTATTGAAATGTCAAAGTGACTGTTCAGGTGTGTTCATCGCAGAGCCGAGGTGTGGAAAAATGAATCATGTCCATGTTTTTCTCACCGCACCACCTACCTCAAGGCGGTGTTAAAATGGTACAGAGAAAGCAATTGTTTTCTATGTGCCCGTGTGGTGACTGGCAGTGACCAGGAGCTGAATCACGCCAGTCAGGGCACGTGGTGTGAACTCTCCATTCCCCGTGTTGTTGTTTTTTTGTGGGTATTTTTGGTCTCTGAACTTTTTCTAGGGATGCACCAATACCTGGTTTTCGGTATTGAGTACGAGTACCGATATTTATCTATCGTCACTCGCCGATGCTGGTACTTCTGCTAGCATGGAGCCGTCTTCCCAGCCAATCAGCATCGAGCTGTCCATTCAGCATGGGGCTGGCCAAACAGCATGGAGCCGGCTTCCCGGCCAATCAGGAAGCAGGGAGGCGAGTCATTAGCCGCCTTCAAGTTTCCTGATTGGCCAGGAAGCCGACTCGATGCTGGTAAGGCCAATCGGCATTGAGTCGGCCAAACTGCATGGAGCCACCTTCCTGGGTAATCAAGAAGCCGGGCAATGACCCATGGCTTCCTGATTGCCCGGGAAGCTGGCTCCATGCTAGCGGAAGTACAGCTGGGAAGCCTGCTCCATGTTCCCTCAAGCTACTACCGGTCAGAGGAAATTTCCCTCATGCCGGAATTTCTTTCTGGTATCGGGGGGGGGGGAGAGCAAAAAAATCATCTCGCCAGTGAAACGTGCGTTTTACTGAACAGAAAAACGTGCAAAAAAAACAAGCAGAAAAAATACGCCCAGGTGTGAACCCAGCCTAAATCACCAGTGTGACATGGACCCAAGTATAAATAATGTATCAGATTGTACCATGTGTACAGATCTGTACAAACTATTTTATATAGTACGAGGGGCAACCTGATTGCATAGATAATGTAGGCCGTATATGACATAGTTTTGGTAAATCTAAAGTTGTATGGTCAGATTGTAACGTGTATGGCGACCCCTGGAATTACACTGGTAGACTTCCGAATGAATGTTCGTACAAAAGTTCCGTCTTTACCACGAGATAACACCATCAGACACTTGACGAAAGTCAATTGAATTTTTTTTTTTTAATGAATGGAGTTTCCAAAACGAAAACCACATTCACTGTTAGAATTTTGTTTGTTTGAGAAAAACTTTCCATTCCATTTCTATCTTCAACTTTCTTTGTCATTATGGTGGAAATCGATCATCGGTTGACCCCCTCAACAATAGAAAGTCGAACTAATGTTCTTTTGCACATCTAAGCAGTGTGTGGCCAGCTTTACCAAAACTCTAATAGGACGACACACCTAAACTGTGATTTCAGTTTGTATCCCATGAAGAAGGCCATTTTGCAACAGGGTTGATAGTAGAGCTGAAGGAGATTATACACTAAACAATCTGATTGTACAGTTACTGTAAGAGATTTTCCCTCACTGTAAATGTGGGGCAGGAGGTGAAGGGGTATTCCCTCTAACCGAGCCCTGGATAACGACAGACAGGAGCTCAAATCCTTCTCCAATGTATGTACTTTTAGGGCCCATTCACACTGTGTTAATCGCACGCTATTACTGTGCATTAGGTGCGTTGTCATTCATTTGAATAGCACCCCCCATGGCTTCTGTGGGTTGCAGTGCAACGCATGGTACCGAAATATTAATAAAAGTATAAAGATTTTTATTGCAAATGAAATGTGCTTTGAGAATAAATTCAATAAAAAAAATGAACCCTTCACAAGATAAGAAGATTAACGTTCACTTCATGTGAAAGAATTAAGATTCCACTTCCTGTGGACAAGATGACATTTATGTTTAATAAACAAAAAACCCCCCACACAACTATGTGCAGAATTAAAATGTACTCTCACTGGCCACTTTATTAGGTTCGTCTGCTCGTTAACGCAAATATCTAATCAGCCAATCACATGGCAGCAACTTAATGCATTTAGGCATCTAGACGTGGTGAAGACGACTTGCTAATGTTCAAACCGCACATCAGAATTGGGAAGAAAAGGGAATTTAAGTGACTTTGAACGTGGCATGGTTGTTGGTGCCAGACGGGCTGGTCTGAGTATTTCAGAGACTGCTGATCTACTGGGATTTTCACGCACAACCATATCTCAGGTTTACAGAGAATGGTCCGAAAAAGAGAAAATATCCAGTGAGCGGCTAGTGTGTGGACAAAAATGTCTTGTTAATGTCAGAGGAGAATGTGCAGACTGGTTCAAGATGATAGAAAGGCAACAGTAATTCAAATAACCACTCGTTACATCCGAGGTATGCAGAATACCATCTCTGAACGCACAACACATTGAACCTTGAAGCAGATGAGCTGCAGAAGACCACACCGGGTGTTACACCTGTCGGGTATGGACAGGAAAATGAGGCTAAGATACGCACAGGCTCACCAAAATTGGACAATAAAGGATCGTCTGATGGCTACTTCCAGCAGGATAACACTCCATGTTACAAAGCTAAAATCATCTTGGACTGGTTTCTTGAACAGGATAACGAGTTCACTGTACTCCGATCACCAGATCTCAATCCAATAGAGCACCCTTGGAATGTGGTGGATGGAAGATTCACATCATGGACGAGCAGCCGGCAAATCTGCAATCCTGTCATGTCACTATGGACCAAACCCTCCCAGAAATGCTTCCAGCACCTTGTTGAATTTATGCCACATACTTTTTCAATAATCGATTATAATCGATTTAGTTGTTGCAGCCCTAAAAGAAATAAGGCAATTCTGAAGACAAAAGGGGGTCCAACCTGGTACTAGCAAGGTGTACCTAATAAAATCATATTTAAATTTATCATGGTAAAGTTGGCCATATGCATTTCGGGCGGTTCTTGATGAACTGGCCAAAAATTGGTTCAGTGGGTGGCCCTGTCGGCACCCTTCCAATCAGCATTCTTTGATGAGAAAGTCAAAGCTGGTTGGAAAATTTTCAGGCGGCCAATTAGCTGCCATCCCTGTTTGGGTACTCTGCCCGTGGCACACCCTGCACTGTGAGAATACAATAGCCCAGCGAGAGATTTGTCCATCCATTCTGTTCGGCATGGGTGGTGGAATCTGTTTATATTCGTTTCGTTCAGCCTGCCTTTTGAATAAAACAACCAGATCATTAACTTGAACGGGTGACAGCGGCCACATCTAAATGGCATATTTGGGATTCCTGCCGCAAGAATCTCTAAACACACATTCATGTGTAGTATGAATAAAGCCTGAATAAAGCCTAAAAGGTAAGAAATCTTACCAAATCTATGTTGTGTGAATGGAAACACAGAACAAACATACATAACATTCTCAAATCTGACTGCAGATATGGAAATACACTTTGCAGAAATCACACATCTCAGGGGCCATCAGTTACAATGAAATAAGCAGTAAAAATGGAGTATAGTAAAGGTGTATGTCTGTAGGACCTGCAGCCGTAGTCTAGTACTTTTGTAAACAGCCTTGCTAGAATTCTGTCACAGCCGATCGGGTGACATCTGTCACCTCCCGTGTTACATGTGCAGCTCCGTGTCACTGGCTCTTGTGTAACTGACTCCCTTCAGGACTTCCAGCTGACTTTATCCAATAATATGAGTCACAGGCTGTTTTATCTTCAGTAATATTTTATTGTAGCTACAGCAGAACTTTCACAATATTTTACAGATGTTGTCACCTACATTATCTGGCCACTTTGAAGAATAGCTGTACTTTCAGCATAGTATTCATTTAAAGAAGAACTCCGGGAATTTAAACTTACTCTTGCATTGGGTCTACCTCCGCACTGCTAGGGTTAAGTGGTCCTTTTGTCCGGGGGGGAAAATAAAGCAGGTATAGTTATCTGATCCTCGGTCCCATCGGGCTGCTAGAAAATCCCTGCAACCTCTTCTTCCCGGGCTCCTTCAAAGCATTGAATATTACTCACGGAAGATGTTGCTCTCGTGGTTTTTCTCGCTGAAATCTAACTTACTGTAATGTTTTTCTGCCGTGCTTTTTATGTTTTGTCTCAAACTGCTTTCATGAGAATCATTTGCATATTATCCAATGAATATATTATTTGTTGTTGCAGGTTACAGTACCGCTGAGTTATCTGATCACAGCATTTCACTCTCCCAAAACCGCAGCGTACCTCCCAAGCTCCTCCTCCCTGAAGGTCGTCCAGCGCGAAGTGACCGCTGACAGCGAGACATACACCTCAGAGGTATGGCAGGGAATCAATTCTGATGAATTACTGGGCTTAATCATAAGACCTCTTTAGGCAAATGGCCATCGATTGAGTCCTTTTTAAGTGTGTAGTGGTAGTATTGGAAGGCTCATTGTTGAGCTGCTATGGTGTGCGGGGGGGGGGGGTGAATAGTGTCAATCTGCACGAATGTAACTTGTGGACTTGATAGGTTACATAGCCATTTACATAATTTGAACCAACAAAATGACTCCCGTTTAACTGTTCTTCAGTAACAGGTACTCTTTAGGCTGTACATGTACATGCGGAAGCCTGTTAGGTGCTTTCCAAGTTGAATGCGACATCTTGAACTTTACTCGGTGAGCTCATGAGCTGAACTTTACTCTATATCTGTTCACAGACCATTTACCTCACATCTGCTACTGTATACAGCTGCTTAATGATAATTGCTCTGATTGCGGTCTGTGTTCCTGTCTTACGTGTTGTTTCTGTGTTCTGAGCAAGATCTCTGGCTGGTTTTCAGGGTAATAATATTAACGTCTGTGTGCGTTCATAGCTGTGGCGTAGTGGTTGCTATAGCTATCACCTATCCTCCTTCTAGTCCTTCACTTTGTGGTATGTCTGTTGCAGGGGCTAACATTACATTGTTGCTTTGTTCTATTGAAGGTTTTGTCTGTTATTTTCATAAACGCACTAAAGCAGTGGAGGGCAACTTAAAGGAGAACTATGAGGTGAGTGATTTTTCACTTATCCTCATAGTTCTAGCCGACCTGTGACAATTAGAATGTCACAGGTCGGCTCAGTAGATCGGGAAGTGAGCGAACACATACCGGCATTCGCTCACTTCTCGATCCTGTCACTGCAGAGAGCCGTGACAGGGGAGTGACTGGATTCCCTCCTCCCCGCTCCGATCCTCCAGTGCTGACTGGCGGAATGGACGGGGGAGGGGGCGGGTACAGATGGCTCTGCCTCTAGATAGGCAGAGCCAGCTGTCACTCACGCAGCTGGGTGGATCCAGACATAATTGTCGGGATCCGTTTCATCTGAGGCGTCTCAGTATAGCTCGCGGTATACTGAGCTTTGGGTGACGGGAGGACGCTAGTTTGTGTTCTCCCGTTACCCTTAGGAGAACTATGGAGAAAAGCCCTAGCCCCATAGTTCTCCTGTTAATGTGCAATCCAGGAGCCAGCAGGATTTTTTAGGTGCCAGCTCCATTGACAGCAACTGGAGAAAACCAACATTTCAAAGAAGCATTGGCTACCTGGATGTAGGGGTTTGTCCAGCCATGCAAACGAACAACAACTTCACAGTGTCTCAGTATAACCACCCGTAAGGGCAGGTTCATACCATTTTTCCGGTCTGAAACGCGGTGCATTGTGATTTTACTGCGATTTAGCCGTTTTCCAGAGCTGTTTTTATTTATCTTCAAATGGGCTTTCAGGTGCCTTCCAGTGCATTTGTATGCGGTTTTGATGAGTTTCCATGCATTCCAGACCAGACAAAATGAGACATGCAGTATTTTTCTGGTCTGGAACGGACTGCGCTGGTGTGAACAGAGGCCAGAAATTGCATAGGGATACATTGGGATGCATTTTGGGTCTGGAAACAGTCTGGTCAGGAGATGATCTGAATGTGGTGTGAATGGGCCTTAAATCTGAGTTGTGTGTTAGGAAGGTAATGGGAAACAGCCTGTGATCTAGCTGTTTTGTGGCATAATGTAAAAGGATTAAAGAAGAACTCTGGTTAAAAATATAAACCCTTGCAGTGTTATCCCCGCACTGCAAGAGTTAAGTGCTAATTTTTGCCTGGGGTAAAAAAAAATAGTTATACTCGCCCAATTTTTCGAGCCGTCCAGCTCTTAGAACAGTCCCTGCAGCGTTTTTTTCTTAACAATACAACATAGAAGACAAATCTGTTCTTGTGCTTTTCTTTATCTTTCAGCCTGTTGTCAACCTCCGAGACCTGGGTTTATCTGAACTGCGACCCGCACAGCTTGATGAGATCTTCACAAAGCTTCTTCCTGGCTTCTTTGTCAATAAAGAGAAACCCTCATCCCACTGGCACACATCCCATGTATCTGCTCAGTCTTTCTTTGAAAATAAAAATGGTAGGTGGAACGAAGATCTCTTGCCTTATTTACAATAGATGCGTTTCAACACACAGTGACAAACGTTCCCAGATGTTTGCTGTGTTTTTTAAAAACGTGCAGCTCAATGCATTAGTAGGGAAACGGCAGGTCAGCATATTTAAATTGCAGAATCATTTTAGAATGCAACATTATTGTCAGCACTATTATAGGAATGAGCTTGTTGATGAGAATGAATGTCTTTGTCTTTTTCTTGCGAAATCCTACCTGGTGTGAATGAGTTTTTCACGTGTGGAAATATAACATTTTAAAAAAGTAACGGTTTAGTTTTTTTCTTAACTCAGTAAGACTTCAATAAGGATATATAGTGCTGGGCATGTTACTAGATGGTTGTTATTAGGATTAGGATTTTTTATAACATACACTGTCTTATCCCTTTCTTTGAAGGCTATTCCAGCACTTTAAGTCCTTTGCGTCCGCACCACCAGCAGCAGCGGAGACCACTGAAGCAAGTTTGTGCCGAGCTGCAGCACTGGCCAGGTAAATGCGGAGTATTCTGTTATAGTTTGTCTTCCTTTTAGTATCTTTAATCTCCTCTCTGTAGACTGATTTAATGCAGTGAACAGAAATGTTAAAAGTAAAAAATTGTATACCAACAGAGTGTGTTCAAAAATTGTAAATGCTTGTTGGTGAAATGACTTGTGTTCCTTGTCTGACCCCCAGCTGCATTGTTGCCAGATAGATTGCTAATCCTGATAAAGACCCTTCAGATATCATACCTACTCAGTACATGTATGGCACAATGCATGGGCAACAAAAGACCTTTCCCTTTCATATGGAAAAAAAAAAGAGAACAATCTTTGAAGCTGGTCTGTACATGCTATCTCTCAGGATTGTTGCAGACAAAGCTTGATCCAGTCACTTCTGTTGCCAGTTGGGCCTAATGTGCAACTTCATCATACATTTTTGTTGTTGTTTTGTTATTTGAAAGGGTTAAATGTTTCTTCAAGAATGTAGATTATAGATGTTGTCTTTTACTGTCCATGGCAACCATTAAAACCTTCAGATTTAGATGATTACATACATACATACATACATACATACATACATACATACATACATACATACATACATACATACATACATACATACATACAATCTATATCTGATACCTGCAATCTTGGGCAGTCTTTTGGTGCCCCATTCAGATTAACTACATAAAGGGCTAGTGTGATTTCTTAATTGTCCAGTGTACAGACACTTTATGAAAAGACCGTCATTAAAGAGATGTAGAGGCTTCCCTTGCTGACCACCCCGCATACCCCCACAACAATGCTTGACTGCCCCGTTATGAGTATCCAATTGACAATTAAAGCCCAACTCTACATTTTGAAAAAAATAACATAGACAAAACTGAGGCCGAGAAGGTCTTAACAAAAAAGCTGTCTATAATATTTGCCTGTAAAACTGAGATGTCGTCCGTCCTTCCCCCGCCCGCGGTACTAAGCCACTAGATGCCGCCAGTCTTCTGGGTTGATTAATGTTCCGCATCATTAAAGCCACTTCCAGTGGGCCCAGGTTGTCAATACGCTGGTCTGGGCTCACAATACTCCTGGACAGAAGTCATTCACAAGACATTATGTGAGCACTGCAGTGTCCTACCAGCTGCTGAAGAAGAATAGGCATTCATGTCAATGGTCTGGCCAGAAGTCTAGGAATAAAGTTAAGAGTAATTAGATTCTTTTAAGACGGTAGTTTGTGGTTGCCTTCAGAGATGGCAGGAGAATTATAGTTGGGTTTTAACCTAGAAGAAGCATGTTTTTCAGAATTTCTGGCTTTCTTTGCTGCACCTTCGATTCAGGTTAAAAATGTTGATGCCAGGAACAACCAGGTATCAATTGATTTCCTATTATATATTTATTCTAATATGCTAGCTCCATATTTCTCATGACTGGTATCCTTTTTAATCATAAATGATCATTTTGATTTGCATTTTTTCTTAGTTTATATCCAGTCTCGGGGATTCAGGACTGTCCAAGCCAAAGATAGACGGCTTCAGTCAACCTCTGAACGTATTGCAGCCACTGAAAGTTCTGCACCCTCCTTTATGAAGGTATGCCGTAATCCTTCAGCATAATGCAAATGTGTTGTTTCTAAAATAGCATTAAAGTACTCTTTAGCATGTAGAACATAAGGAGAATAGTTACGATTTATTTATTTTTTCCTTTTAGGGTTTTTTGATGAGAGATAGGGTTCCAGATGTGGAAAATTTGGAAAAGATTGTAAAAAGTAAGAATGTCCCCGAAGGACAGCAGGAAGCATTTAAGAATGGCTTTGCAGAAGGTTTCCTGAAAGCACAAGCACTTACTCAGAGGACCACAGGTAAGCTGGTACACCCAAATGTATTTAATTGAGGCAAGGCTTAAAGTGAACTTGTGCCCAGACTATCCACACTGAAGTATTGAACAACGATTACTGATTGAACAATCAGTAAAAACACTTTAAAGCAATATCTGAATTACCTTTTGTAGCTATAAGCATTGTGGAGAAAATTGTCTTCAAAGTTTACAACAGAGGTACTGAACTTTTAGGTTTTCTTCTCCATATCCTGGGCACAGATGCAATTCTAATGTTCCTCAAATGTGCTTTTAGAGTGTTGGATCTGTGACCTATCCCTTGTGTATGCTCAACTGAATGATGGCCCCCTTGTGATTACCATGAACTGTTTTTGATACTATTGTTAAATATTTAATAACTTGGGTCCTGCATCCGCACATTCTTCTTTGAACCCTCTTCATTGAAGTCATCTCTAAGGCTGGGCACACACCTTACAACCATCGCAAGACTTTTGTCTTGGACAGGCAGATCGTACTTGCAAAGATCACAAGCCATGCCCCCTGAGGGGCGGGCTTCCGATGACCGCAATGCCGAACGGGCAGTGTGCGCTTGCGCACACCGGCCCGCCCGGCTTTTATCTTGCGAACGTGCTACACACCCGCCGAACATTGTACGATGCTCGGCGGGTTTGCAAACATGTTCGTAAGTTTAAAGTCGTGCGACCTTACAGTAGTAGACATCGCACGGCTTCCACACACCTTACGATAATTGTACGATCGCGGGATTTCCCACGATTATCGCAAGGTGTGTGGGGACCTTAAGCCACACCAGCTTACCAATTGGTAGAATAAAAAAAATTAAATCAAGTGGCGAACAATCAATTCCAAAAGAATGCAAAGAAAAGGGCAGGTTTCAGCCCAGATTCCCAATGGGAACTTTGTTTTAGTGTAACCTGAGAATTTTATTAAAACGTCTTCCTTGCCAGCACTGGAGGTCCCCGGTTCAAATCCTGGTCAGAACACTATCTGCAAAGAGTTTGCATGTTTTGCCTGTCCTGCCTTGGTTTCCTCCCACACCCCAAAGATTAATTGCCTCCTGTCTAAAACGGCCCTGAGTGTACTACATGTGAGACGGGGACCTTAGGTTGTAAGCTTCTAGAGAGCAGAGACTGATGTGAATATGATGTCCATGTAAAGCACTGTGTAAATTGTTGGCGCTATATAAATACCATAGGTTATATATAGAACAATTTTAATAGGTGTAAAAAGTTTTTAAAAAAAAAGCTTCCTTGTTCACGATGATAAGTTCCTAGTTGAACCTCCTTATCCATCTTGCCATTTGATCTTTTTTCAGAGTCACTGAAGAGAACGCGGTACATACTACTGGCTGTATTACTACTTGGAATCTATGGCTTGTCCAAAACACCATTTTTGTCAGGTACATTTTTCTGTGTAAACCTAAAGTGTATGTTAACTTAAATATTGTGTATAGTTGTGTGTGTTTTATAAGTTTTTTTTTTTTTTTTAAATCTTGCTTTTAAAGTTTTTATCCATTTTATTGTTTTAGAAATACATGGTGATCCTGCCAGTTCTAGTTTTCTGTTTCAAATTGACCACGTCGAGCACGGAAGCTGATCTGTTCGAGCTTGGTCAGTTTGTGTCCCTAGGATGGTGCCTGGGAGCTACGGGACGCCGTGCCAATGCATGGTGTGCCTGTATCTACCATGGTCAGATTTGCACCCCCTTCATTCAGGTGTAAGTTGACGGACGTCATCTTCTGGTGCTCACACAGACAGTGAAATCACTTCCCTGTTGTGCGTGTGATGTAATCCTGCCTGCCCGCTGGCTGTGCCCAATCACCATTCTGCTGTGTGGGTAATCCTACCCACTTGCTGTATTTGATAAAAGCCATAGAAGGGGGAGCATAGTTCCTCACTTCTTCTGCCCCTGCTATGAGGAAGTGGGACTTGATAAGAAAAATGTCAACGAAGGGTTAAAGCTAAATAGATGGATGGATTATTAATTTTAAAAAAAAATGTTCCCCTACTTAAGTAAATATGCAGCCCTCCCCCCATGCCAAGGTCCTAGGTGTCATCCTGGACTCGGACCTCACCTTTCTTCCCCACATCCAATCACTATCCAAATCCTGTCGCCTTCACCTTCGTAACATCTCCAAGATTGTTAGATTGTAACCCCTCAGGGGCAGGGCCCTCCTTACCATCTTGTCTTGAATTGTATTGTGATTGTAATGTCTTCCTTATATTGTAAAGCGCTGCGCAAACTGTTGGCGCTATATAAATCCTGTATAATATAATCTAATAATTAAATAAATGTGTTTTCATATATGTAATACTATTTTCTGGGCTTTTTATGCAATGAGTTCACAAAAATACTTTACAATGTACAATTGTAGCCTTATAATCTATTATCGTTCCATGATAATAAGGTAGCCTGCTGAACGAGTTCTTCATGAGCAAATCCTTTGCATAATCCATACCATAATAATCGTGTACCGGGTCCAAGTTTCTTATAACTGTTGGCACAGGCACAAAGGCAGCAGTGTAACATTTACTTCAAACATCACAGTGCTCATGCTGTTTAACCTGCCGCATTGCACATTTCAGCAAAGGTTATACCGTGTTTCCCCGAAAGTAAGACATCCCCCGAAAATAAGACCTAGCGCTATCTTCGGGGATGTCTGTAATATAAGACCTACCCCGAAAATAAGACCTAGTTCGGGGTAGGTCTTATATTACAGACATCCCCGAAGATAGCGCTAGATCTTACTTCCGGGGTAGCTGTGAAGACCGGCCGCAGCTCCCTCCCGCCCCCTCGCCCGTCCACCTACCCGCCCGCTGTTGCTCTCTGGATGACGACATCAGAGCGGAGAGGCAGCTCCCTCCCGCCCCCTACCCGACACGCCCCCCCTCCAGCAGCACGCATGCCCGCCCCCTCGTCTCCTTAGTTCCGAGCGGAGAGGCAGCTCCCTCCCGCCCCCCTGTCAGACACGCCCCCCCGGCCGCACGCATGCCCGCCCACCTGTTTGTGGCTCCCTGGACGGCAGAGCACAGCTGCAGCCAGGTAAGACATCCCCCGAAAATAAGACCTAGTGTCTTATTTCGTGCAAAAAAAAAATAAGACACTGTCTTATTTTCGGGGGAAACACGGTAGTGTACACCTTTTTTGTTGCATAACTTTTTCCCCTCATTTTAAAGTATTTTAAAATGAAAATCTTTGTCTGTGTTGCAGTCCGGTTCCGGGCAACGTCTGGCCTTGATGCAGCTGTAGATCCAATTCAAATGAAAAATGTAACTTTTGACCATGTAAAAGGGGTGAGTATGATTGTGCTTAGGATTATTTCATAAAATACAAAACCAGCAAAGCACTTTCAGTGTGCTGGGGTAAGATGTACGAAATATGTAGTACGGCCATTAAGTGGCTGAACTTGCATGAATTTCAAGTGTATGAAAATCATATCAATAAACTCCTGTTAATTTGCTCCCTTTTTGGTTTGGTAAAGATTCCACTGAATTGTTTTGTTATATCTGTGTAATAATTGCAAAAACCTGTTGATCTTGCCAGAAATCTTGTGAACACTTGTGGTTTTTTCCTGTGCCACACTTTTAGCAGTTTACATTGTTCTCAGCTGTCTCTGCAGGCTACAGTACACCTCCCCTCTGCAATGAAGATGAGGGAGGGGACATGCATTCTGTTGTCCTAACACACTTCCTGTCTTAGTGAGACAATGCTACTGCTCCATAGATGCAGTACAGTGAGTGAACATTGTCATCCTAGAACAGTGAGTATGTTACTGGCAGCATCTCCAGGTAAAAATAAAGGGGGGGGGGGCTGAAATAAGAATACTTATGCAGCCAGCACATTTTAAGACTGTTAAGCTGCAATATATTATCGTTTAAGCTGCAATATATTATCGTTTATGTTCTTATAGACTTTACACACTGCACTGGGTGTGTGTCATTAAAAAGCTGTGCGAAGGGCTGCTGTAACGTATGTAAACCTTACCCTTAAGCATGCTGGCTCCTACACAAAACAGCTTCTGGCCCTGCACAGAGTAAAGGATGCGATTTCAAGCAGTGAAGTGCTCCATTCACATCGCCACCCCTTCTTGCTACTTGCCCATTCCCAAAATACCTCCTTGTAGTTTTCTCAAAGAATGCAAGGTGTTCTGTGATTCGTAGAAAGAGTGATGTCACATCTCCAACCACAGAACGCCTTGTATTTGAGATAAATACAAGGCATTTTGTGAGGGGGGCGGGTATGTGACTCGAGCACTTCACTGATCAAATTGGCATCCCTCAGTCCATGCAGCGTCCAGAAGATCGGCGTTATGCAAGGTGAGGTTTTAAAAAAAAATACTTTTCAGCAGCCCTCCACATGTGACATGCAGCTTTTTAATGATCATTTGCACACCTAATGCTATGTGTAAATGTATTTTTTCCTGAAGTTTGACTCCAGCTTTACAGGCATTCAGTGGTTTAGAGTGGAGGAAGATGTTTGGTGTGTCGCTATGAGTGTCCCATGTCGTGCATTTCTGGTTCTAGTTGTCCTGCTGCTTTTATTTGTATTGAGCAATGGAGCTAAACATTTCTATAGAAAATCTGACACCAGGCTGGAAGCACATGGATCAAGTTTACAATAGCAAATTGGCAGACCAGTATTTATTTATTTTTTGGCACTGGCAACCCAGCACGGTATATTTGGGTTTAGGGCTTTCAAGTCCCCTGTCCAAACTGGTTGGCTGGAATTCTTACATGCTTTTCATAAATACATAAACTTTAAGCAACTCCTTTGTGTCTCTGTCCAGATTACACATTTCATTATGGGTAGTGGGTTAGAAATCTAAAGATAAGCTACTAGTTTTCTAAACTGTTAGTTATTTTTGCAATTAATATTGAGCTCAGCGGTCTTTTTTTTTTTTTCCCCCCTTTTAACAGGTTGAAGAAGCAAAGAATGAGCTACAGGAAGTGGTCGAGTTCCTGAAAAATCCACAGAAGTTCACTGTTTTGGGAGGAAAGCTTCCAAAAGGTAAGATCTACTAATGGCAGCAATTGTTTTGGTATGAGTATTGTGCCACAGTTATAGTGGTTTCCATACAGACCCAGTGTACTGAAATAGAAGGCCTGCCCATAACCCCTTTCCTAATTTTTTTTTTTTTTTTCAAGAATGTTTTATTACATTTTCAGCAATTTTTACATTTGCAAAACAAACGTCCTCACTTCAAAGTCATAAGCATACCACACAGTGGTTGATCACAGCCATATCAGTCCATCCATTAACATATACATGGTGGAGGAAGCACACAAAACAGTGCTCCCCCTGTAAACAAATATTCATACAGTGCCATCAAGCATTACTCTGAGGCCTGCCTCCAAAGGAGGTTGTCAATTCTGCCCTATCTGCATGACCCCCAAGGCATTCGACAAGGCATTGGTCAGGTACCATTTAGTGTAGCGGAAGGGCTTGACAATTTGGCGGATTTCCTCCTAGAGTAAGCGCTACCAATAAAATATCTCCATTGTGATAGAAAAGCCCTTTCCTAATTTAATGTAAGGGCAAATTTACACAGTTCAGCAGAAACTTTTTTTTTTTTTTTTTTTATCCTATTTCAAATACATAAAATCAAAGCAGCTGCTTGTAAATTAACATTTTATTACACATTTAATTTGTATGAGGTGCAGGCATAGGATTCTTCCTTTCTTGAGTACATAACCCGTAGCCTTTTGTTTGAGTTGTGATCTTCATATACGATTTATATTTGTGTCTCTCTTTCAGGCATTCTGTTGATTGGACCACCTGGCACAGGGAAAACCCTCCTGGCTCGAGCTGTCGCCGGCGAAGCTGATGTTCCTTTCTATTATGCATCAGGCTCTGAGTTTGATGAGATGTTCGTTGGAGTTGGAGCCAGTCGCATTAGGAATTTATTCAGTATGTTCAGTTTTTTGTTTTTGTTTTTTTTTTAAAGTATTGACTTTACCTGCTCCCTTTTTAATATTGAGAAAAATGTGGGAAAAGTAGAGTCTATTCCTAACCCAACAAAGAGAGTACTTGGGATTCACTTTTTCATTCATCTAAGTGCAGATACAATTGGTAGGATATCCTTAGCTTGGCTCCCTGCCCTCTCCAAAATCTACTCTTTTATATTCAGGAGTTTACCTAAAAGAAAGGGGGTAAGGGTTGTCGGTTGATTGGGGGAGAGAGAAATACAGGAAGCAGGACAAAGAACAGCAAAAGGAAAAAGTGAAGGAAGAGAAAATGAGATTAAAAGAAGAGGGAAAAACAGTGAAGGGAGTGGGGGGATTTGGCAATGAGTAATATGACTAGGTATGATACCAGTTAATGAGCATCTCCTGCCTTTTGAAAGTCGTCTTTGTATACTGTTTTGTGTTTATAATTTTGGTCCAGTAGTACCACCTTAAATGTCAAGAGTCTTGTATGGTCTCTATCCTTACACTCTTTTAAATACTTTTTTTTAGGAACACTGCTGTCCATCACACATAAATGGCCATGGTACCTTATACGCATAAATTGCTTTACATGGTACTTAAAGCACTATTCTACCTAAAATGGCATAGATGAAGGGCATAGGGGTAGCGTTCCACCCCATTCTTCTGAAGAAAGTGAATAAAAATACTTTGGGTAGTGTGCGGTACAGTTTGATTCTATACCTCAAAAATTGAAAAAAGGGCCTCAGTCATGAAGGGGTTAAATTGCACCCCCCTTCATTGCCTTTGAACTGCTGTGATCAGTCATTAATTTGGCTAAATCTGATATCGGCTTTTCCCAGTTCTGTATGTCATGTCCAGCTGGCTGGAAGGGTAATGGTACTGTATGTGTTCCTTCTGCCCTCTAGTGGATATTTCTTAGAAGTACGTATTCAGGAATATCTCCAGTTATGCGTACTTGAAGTGGTAGCTGCTTTGAAGACAAGGCAGGAGATCAGAACTTCTCCTTTACCACCCGAAATGTATTTTTCTTTTCTGTAGAATTGCTATTTCAGCAAACCTTTTACGGGATATAGCAAACTCCCTTTCCTAGAGTGACCCTGATATACGGAAGGAGAAGAATTTGTTTCCAGTTAAAAGTGAATTTTCATTTGTCTTAGTGAATGAGGTAAAATCAAAGTGAATACTCACTTTGAAGACGAGCATGGTCTACTCCTGATCAACCCTAAAGTGTGCTAGAAATGGTGTACATTTAAGAAGTGAGAACAACTACATTCATAAACAGTTAATAGACACTGGAGGTTTTTTTTTTTCTACTCCATCGCTAGGGGGCGCGCGCGAGCAGAAAAAAATTGCCGTCTGGAGACGGCAACCCGCAGATGCTGCAGTGCCGTCCGTCCGTTTTTTTACTACGGGCGGACGGCAAGAGGTTAAACAAAAAAAAAAAACTTTTAAAAAGGGTTTAAACTTACACGTGTCTCCGCCACGTGCTCCCGTACGAACAGCTGAAGAGTCTTGGGCTGCCACAAAGGATCTTGGGGCGGGCGCATGCGCATTTCAGATGTTCGGCCGGGAGACGAGGAGAGACACAAGGTAAGTCTATGGAGCAGCGTGCACTCGCACAGACACCGTGGGACATCATAGAAGAGGAGGACAGAGGAGTCAGCGCTGGATCGGGGACCCGCACCAGCGCTGGAGGGACAGCTGGAAAGGACAGTAAAGAAGATGATCGAATAAAGAGCCATCATTTAAAGTGACATTAAAGGGAAAAAAAATGTTTTTCCCTCACCCCAACGTTAAAGCACTTGCCTTAAATTATGTCTTTTAATCCGATCTTACCTGTAGTTTTCAGCCTTCTCTCCAGCGCTGCGGCGAATCTCCGATCCAGCGCTGACTCCTCTGAGCTTGCTAGCACGTACTCTCCCACAGTGTCTGCATGCGGGTGCACGCGTCCATAGACTTACCTTGTGTCTTTCCTCGGGTCCCGGACGGAAATGTGAACTGCGCATGCGCCCGCCCCAAGATGGTTTGCGGCTGCCCGTGCAGTTTCACATTTTCGGACGGGAGCGCGCAGGGAACACAGGTAAGTTTAAAGCGTTTTTGTGTTTTAAAAAAAAAACAAAAAAACTTTTTGCATATATCTACTGCTTGATGGCAGTAGATATATGCAAAACAAGCTGAGGGTTTAGAAACCCTTTAAGGTAAGTCCTTACAGCAGGATTGGGAAGGGGAAAAAGACATTCTGACATTAATGTCACTAAGTATATCTGATAATGACACAGCTGCTTTATAGGATGCAAGTATACTAATCAAGTACATTTTTATGAACAGGAGAAGCTAAGAGCAATGCACCCTGTGTTATATTTATTGATGAGTTGGATTCAGTTGGAGGTAAAAGGATTGAGTCTCCCATGCACCCATACTCCAGACAAACTATAAACCAACTCCTGGCAGAAATGGACGGGTAAGAGCTTCTCATTATTCACTTGGACATACAGTATGTTGTATATGGCTGTCTGAACTTAACTGAATGTAAGTTGTGTGGGTTTTCTTTCTTTTTGATCAGAGGTTCCAGTTATACCATGTTGTTTTTTTAATGATGCAAAAGTGCAGAAGCCATCTCACACTCTTCTACCATGAATCCCTTATGCATTGCCTTCACATTATCCTTGGCTAACGTTCTGATACAACTTCCATTGATAGTTTTTCTGTTTTAAGTCTTTAGAAGTCATCTATGTTCAGATTCTGTGACCAGACCGGTACTAGTAGAAACAAGAAATGTTTGTTTCTGTTAGCAGTAGTCTAAAGCATCTTCATAGGCAGCTTACATAATCTGCATGTTGTACATGGAACAGGAAACAATAAAAGAGAAACCATGGGTATATTTTCCTTTTTTCAGAGAACATTGAACAGGTCACTTTGATCTCTAGCCCACGAACGTATCTGCAATCTAATGTCCTTATGACAGCCTTACACACATCTGTATGCACTATAGAGCCAATTCTTTATTAAAAAGCCCATTGACCTAGAACTTTGCCTTTTGAATTGTGGGATGAAAGCAGGGCAGACAAGGATCGAAAATGCAGACAATATGCGCACCGTGTCCTCAAAATTTGAAACCTAAAGAATAGAGTGTGAAGGCGTGAGTGCTTTCCAGTTGTATTGCTGAATGTACACAGGGGAACACAGTAGACACTTGGGTATAGTCCTCACCTTAAGGTGGAACAATGAATTGGTAAATCCTTCTCTGTATTTTCAGTGACGACTCCTATCTTCATTCAGTTGTAGCACCTTGCAATAGCCACTGCTCACACATTAAAAAGAAGACTGGTCCCATTTAGTGCCTGCATTGATGGGCTTTTGGCCTTGTGTCAGTTTAATATGCGTTTAAGATGCTTTTGAAATAATTTAGAATTCTTTGACAGGAGCATCTGACCTGCAATTGACCACTTCCTGGATTTGACATGTTTCAAGGGAGTTTGGCATTCCCATGTACAGGGAAGTGAGAGAACGCATACCGTCGCTCGCTCACTTCTCGATCTATCCCTGCAGAGAGCCGTGACTGTCACTCTCGGCTCCCTGCAGGGATTCCCCCCTTCCTGCTCCGATACTGCAGCGCTGACTGGCGGAACGGACGGGGGAGGGACGGGCACAGCTGGCTCTGCCTCCTAGATAGGCAGAGCCAGCTGTCACTCACGCAGCTGGGTGGATCCAGACAGCATTGTCCGAATCTGTTCCGGCTGCGGCGTCTCAGTATACCGCGAGCTGTATGCTAAGCTTTTGGTCACGGGAGAACGCTAGTTTGTGTTCTCCTGTGACCCTTGGGAGAACTATGGGGAAAAACCCTGACCCCATAGCTCTCCTTTTTAAGGATCTCTTCATCCTTCAACACATAACTGATGATTCTTATTTTTTTCCTTGTTTCCCCCACCCCCCTCCCCTATATAGCTTTAAACCGAATGAAGGTGTTATAATCATTGGCGCAACAAACTTCCCTGAAGCCTTGGATAAGTAAGTATACATTACGTTTGGTAACAGATTGATCACATCTTTTATTAAATAAGGACCTATAACTGCAGCATGGCTTTTGTACTAGAAATCCAAGATATGTTGCCAACATTTACATCAGCCGGGAGACAAAAATCACTTGCACTGATGGTTTTTTTTTATACGTTGGGCATTGTTGAAGAGTTGTGTGTGACAAGTAGGTACTTGTTAGAGTTGAAGCAGACCTAAACTTTAAAAAAATGCTTGCAGGTAGTTTCTTTTTATTATTTATTTTTTTTTGCTAAAGAAGACATTGCATGTTTTTACATCCATATAGATATTTTTTTCTGCAATGAATGCATAGTGCAGTGTAGACTCCCAGCATCTGTAGAATGCCAGGGGGGTGGATCACCAGTGTCTCACTCTTGGTGAACAATCATGTGCTTGTGTATCAGATCATTAACACTTTTTTTCCTTCTGTTCGTTTTTCTAGTGCATTGGTGAGACCTGGGCGCTTTGATATGCAGGTCACCGTGCCCAGGCCCGACGTGAAGGGTCGCACGGAAATTATCAAATGGTACCTCAACAAAATCAAATATGATGAGTGTAAGTGGACTTATCTGATATTTTTATTTTGTGGTGTGTTGAATATTGCTCGGCTTACTCAGAGTTATAAAGTGTTTATAAATAAGGTATGTTTAAAAAAAAAAAAAAAATACAATTGCTGACCTGTCTTCCTGAAAATGCTAGTTAACTGGCTGACTTTAGCTTTAATATTACGAGTCAGTGAGTATGCTGCAAGTGAATTCAGAACTTGTAGTGTTATATTGAAGTCACCAGATCAGCGGAACTTACAGACAACTAGAATTTATATTTTTCAGGGAGTGAGCAATAGCAGCCTACATATCTCACCCACCCACTGCCAGCCTATGACTGGACAGTTAAGGTGCAGAAACAGTTCACCCCTGTGCCTACTCTGCTCTCTCCTCCTACAAGCTTCTTGTTGGCATGCATTCAGTGCAGAACACCTGATTGGCTCCCAGGGCTATCCTTCCCCATCCCAGTCTGAGTGTAGCTATGCATTTGATTACATGAGGATGATGCCAAGATATATTCAGTTACTTAGCATAGTAACATTTAAAAAATGCATTACATTTTTTTAATAACTGAATTAATTGATATTGTTATATTTGCATGGAGTTCAGCGTTAAAGTGTTGTTTTTGATAACTTAACTTAAATATAAAAGACAAACTATTGATTATCTTTAAGACATTCTACTAACAATAACTTTAATTGTACAGCGATTGAAGCTGAAATAATAGCCCGTGGCACTGTGGGATTCTCTGGAGCTGAGCTGGAGAATTTGGTTAACCAGGCTGCCTTGAAAGCTGCTGTGGATGGGAAGGACATGGTTACCATGTGGGAACTGGAGTTCGCCAAGGACAAGATTCTTATGGGTAAGCCGTAGCTGTGACCCTGCATGGGTAGTCATATTGCGGTAATGTCAAATACTTAGTGCTGTTTTTACATCTTTTACTTCAGGACCAGAGAGAAGAAGTGTGGAAATAGACGACAAGAATAAGACTATCACTGCTTACCATGAATCCGGCCATGCCATCATTGCCTATTTTACCAAAGATTCAATGCCCATCAACAAAGCGACAATCATGCCTCGGGGGCCAACTCTTGGTCATGTGAGTCGGTAGATAATAAATGGCAGTCATGTCATTCTGTTTGCTATAGTGTGAACTGGCAGTCCTTGTCTTGTATATCATATAGTAATATCTGTAGAAGGATGCAAGGACATTTCTGCATACTGTATGTTTTTATGATCCTACTTTTTATACACTTTGCATTACGTTTTCGATAGTCATTCTTGTTGAATGTCCACAATTTTATCTTTATACTACAATAGCTCTACAGCTGCGATGTCAGTCTGGTTATGTTATCATTATTCATGTCTTGTAGGTGTCTCTCCTGCCGGAGAACGATCGGTGGAGTGAGACAAAGTCTCAGCTCTTGGCTCAGATGGATGTGAGCATGGGAGGAAGAGTGGCAGAGGAAATCATTTTTGGGCCAGAGAATATCACTACAGGTATCCTGATCTTTTGTGAATAGAAACACTGTGTATGATGCAAACCAGGGCATAGAGACCAAATTTTGTATCTGTTTTTTAGGGGCTTCAAGTGACTTTGACAGTGCTACAAAAATTGCAAAGCTCATGGTGACCAAATTTGGGATGAGTGAAAAGGTTGGTGATTTAATTTCCTTGTATATAATCTCTGCTCTTTGTTCTCACTTTAAAGCACATGGGCTGCATTCCTACATATGCATTTAGTGTGGTCCATTTTGCTAGAAGGCCAGGCCATTATAAATAGGGAAGCAGGTTGTTTACCACGACAGTAGAAGTGATTTTTTTCTGAAGATACGGGTAAACAACGCGATTTAACAGCCTTTGAACGTGGGATGATTGTTGGCGCTCGGTGCCATGGAGCGAGTATCAGCAAAACAGCAGAATTCGTTAAATGTTCAAGAGCAGCTGTTGTTAAAGTGTTTAAAGACTGGACTGTCAGACGAAAATCTGGGTCTGAACGTGCGAATTGTGGCCGTCAGCGACTAGTCAATGTTAGGGCAGAACGGAGAGTGGCAAGACTGGTACAAGACAACAGAAGGGCAACAGTGCAGTGTCAGATTCCTCGCATCACCTTGGGAAACCGTTAAATCGGTGGGTTTAGTTCTGATGTGAATGTGCAGTATGTCCAGCGCTGCGTACATTGTACTAATATAAATACCTGAAATAGTCAAATTATCGGATTGGCAGGGTTCCGATAGGATGACCCCTGGAGATTGACACTTGGGTGGATGGGACCTACAGTAGTAGGCATTTTTCCACTTTCTCCTAGAAATTGCTTTAACTTGAACTAGCCAAAGTCTGCCAGTTCCAGAATTGTCCATGCTGGGTACATTACAGGCAGTGCTGAAGAAGTGTTTTTACTTCATAGTATTTTATACATTTTGTTTTCATTTTGAAATGTAATATATGCAGAGTACATTCAGTATTGCTATAGGTATTTTATTTGCTTAAATATATTTCAGCTTGGAGTCATGACTTATTCTGATATGGGAAAACTGAGCCCAGAAACACAAGCTGCTATTGAACAAGAAGTTAGAACTCTGCTCAAGGTAAGAGGGATAAACTGTCACTTGCCACGATAAAGGGCTAGTTCTTCTTCTTTTGCTTTGTGATGAGTGAATAAAGTCCTGGTGCCACCTACCTACTATAGAAGGGAACTTTTCTTTTTGGCCACACAAATGTTTTACATTGGTACATTAAAGTGAATCTGTCATAAGAAGTACACGGGCTACCAATGCTAACCCCCTTTTGAAATTGGTAGTCGCCTGGCTGCGTCACAGACCTTTAATAAGCATGCTGTAAATAAGTGTCGGAGTTGTTTTATTATACCTGTCCGGGGTCAGTCGCTGAGACAGTATTAAAGTCAAAGTATCAGCACCGCACCCAGAAAACTAGCATTCTCAGTCAGAGTTCAGCAATGGCAACCTCCATAATTTCTCTTGACAGAGTCTCTTCAATTCTGGGTGTTTGACTCCTTAAAGTCAAATACTTTCTGATTTTAGAACGGTTGCTGCATTAGTATCCTGGGATTTGAACCAATCTCTGAGACAAGAGGACCTTGCACTCTATTGGTTGTCCATCTAATATCAGAGTAATCAAAGTGGTTCACTGGCACACACAAAGAGAAGTTCCGATATAAATATTTCGTTGATATGTTTATTTGTGAAATGTTACGTCATGTCATCAAAGGGTAACGTTTCGGTACCTCGCAGGAACCCTTCATCAGAGCGACACAAGCGATAAAGGGTTCCTGTGAGGTCCCGAAACGTTAGCCTTTGATGACTTGATGTGGCATTTCACAAATATATCAATGCAATATTGATATTGGAAGTTCTTTGTGTGTGCTGGTGAACCACTGTGATTACTTTGAGTTCTTGCACGGCGACATCCGTACGATCACCTCGAGGACCACCAATAATACGAAGTTCTGAGACCGCAAGGAGTACTGGTGGCCTTCGGAAACATCTAATATCATACGCATCAAAGCCCCAGTTTACGGGGAGAGGAAAGGCGATCACCCAGATTAAACTTGTGTCGAAAATGGGACTGGAGACATATACTGTACACTCCTTTCAGGTAGTGTTACTATGGGAATTTTACCCAGAAACCCATTAATTCAAGGCCACAGTGCTAACCACTAATCCATCTGTCTGCTCATTGCTGATGAATGTTAGTAATTTTGGCTACAAACCACCTTTAATCGTGCTGATATTTCTTTTTAGGATTCCTATGAACGGGCAAAGCTTATCCTAAAAACTCATGCCAAGGAGCACAAGAGCCTGGCAGAAGCTTTATTATCGCATGAGACCTTGGATGCCAAAGAGATTCAGATGGTAGTAGAAGGAAAGAAGCTAGAACCAAGATGATACAGCCAGGACAGTGTAATGAACTGTGGACTTCTGGTTTTATTGTCACTGCAGCATAACCCATTCTTTATTTTCACTTATTTTTACTTAAGGTATGCTTTCCGATTCCTCCATCTAAATATTCAGATGTCATCTATTGCAATATGTGGCTGCTCCGATGTTCCATTAGGCAGTATGTTGACATTAGAGGTCTGTGTAGAGCAGGCGATGCAGATAAGCGAGGGATCTCAGGGCAGAATATGATTGGTGACAGACCTCGGAAACATCCCACATTGCATCTCTCGGGCCTGTGCTTTATGTCTAAGAGGCTTTGTCTGTCACTGCTACCATTTACTCTCTGTATGTGACCTCTTGGTGCTACTGCCAGTATGTGTGTGTGTGTTGTGTGAAGCAGCTGCACAATGTAGAGCTATTTTACCTGAATACTTGACACCTTGTAACTACTGACACATAAGAGCACCATATCTAGAGGAGGAACCTGCTGCTCTGCTGTTAAAATTATAAAGAGATGACTGTATTCATTTGACATCTAAATAGGTTTATATAAGCAATATTACTGACTTTTTAAGCCGTGGGTTAATTTTATCTAATTTTCCGTCTTCTTGAAGGGGTTCTGCAGGTAACAATTAACTTCCAGGCCAAGGGATTTATAAAGCCCGATCCCTTAGTTAAAAGCAGGTCTGTGGAGACAGTTCAGTTTTTAGAGAGTTTGTAACCATAGTTTTCATTTTTGTTTTGTTTTTCCTCTGCTCTACAAGCTAAGGTTTTATGACACCTCCTACCCTAAAACAGAGGCCATCTAATCCTGACAGATTTCTGATAAGGGCTTATGCTTTATACAGCTCTCATTCTAGAGTTGGTGACTCAAAAAGTA